AGGAGGAGGAAGATGAAGGAGAAGAAAGTGTGAAGAGGAGGAGGAGGAGGAGGAAGAGGAGGAGGAGGGAGAGGCCTGGCGAGGGGCAGGTTTGTCCAGCCACAGTGAGGGCTGGCAGGAGGTCTCTGGGTCAGAGTTCAGGATGGAGGATGGAGATGGAGTTTCTCTCATGCCTGCTCTGCAGGTCTGAACAGGTCTGTTGGGGCTGGAGGAGTTACACATGTACCATGATGCACCTGGAGCTCCTGGATCCACCTCTTGTCTCTCCAGGACACTGAGCTGTGGGAAAAACAGAGGCTCCTGTTCTGAGGCCCCCACCCGTGGAGGGACAGATGTGCTCCTTCAGGACTCAGCAACGCAGAAGGTCTCTCACCAAAATTTCTTTTTTCTATTATTATTTGATTGAGACAGGGTCTCATGTAGCCCAGGCTGGCCTCCAACTTGCTGTGTAGCTGAGGATGACCTTGAACTCTTGATCCTTCTGCCTCTACCTGCTGAGTGCTGAGATTACATGCATCCAACTATGTGGTGGTAGACGTTGAACACAGGGATTCATGCAAGCTAGGCAGGTGCTCCACCAGCTGAGCCCCACCTCTAGCTCCTTCACCCCAGTTTTCATGCTGAAGTTCAAACCTTCAGTGCCCTAGAAGGTGACTGTCTTTGGAGACAGGACTTAAACCATATCATCAGGTTGAAGTAAGTTCATGTGAGTGGATCAGAGTTCAGTGTGTACTGTGACAAGAGATTAGGCTGGGCACAGCTGGGGACACCATCACCCTACCTACTCCAAAACTGAGGCAGGAGGATTTCAGCAGTCAAGTTCAGCTTGGACAACTCAGTGAGACTCTGTCTCAACATTTTTTAAAAAATGTAAAAGAGGGCTGGGAATATAGCAATGTAGTGAAGCCCCTGCCTAGGTGTGGCTCAGAGGTAGAGCCCCTGCCTAGGATCCCCCAGTGAGGGGCTGGGGTGTGGCTCAGTGGTGGAGCCCCTGCCTAGGATCCCCCCAGTGAGGGGCTGGGGTGTGGCTCAGGGGTAGAGCCCCTGCCTAGAGTCCCCCAGTGAGGGGCTGGGGTGTGGCTCAGCAGTGGAGCTTTTGCCTGGTTTGTGCATGTGCAAGGCCCTGGATACTAAGCTTGGAACTTCTGAAACATAAAGCAGAAGGAGAGGGAGAAAAGAGGGAGAGAAGGAGGAGACAGAGAGCACGCAGGGAAGATGCAGTGACTGCACGGGAAGATTTCCCGTCTCCAGGTAAAGGCGAGAGGCCTCGGGAAAACCCAGCCATGTTGGACACCTGAGCCTTGAACTTTCTCTCCAGAACTGAGGGGAAAAGATATGTGGGTCTTGCAGCCAGCCAGCCCGGGGCACATTTTTTATGGCAGCCTCAGCAGAACTATTAAAGTATCTGCTGTAGAATTTACTATCCTCATTTGGACAGCACCTGCCAGTGTCCACAGGGTCCTCACCATGGGCAGCCCGGACCTCTGCTGTCCCATGGGACCTTGGCGTGAAGAAAGAGCAAACCCAGACAGATGTCCAGTTACGACTCCGCCCCTCCATTCTGGTCGCTTTGGGAAGGAGATGGAAGGTAGGCAGCTCAGGACCCTCCAAGCTCTGAGCTGAGTCCTCAGAGTGCCAGGCAGGGGTTAGGGATGGCTGTTACCGATGCACAGCCCCTGGAGGTTCGGCCTGGCAGCCAGGACCGACTTGCAGGCCTTCTGGCTGAGCTGAGTTCAGACCGATTCTCACTTACCCGCAGCCTTCAGACTTCCTGAGTGCTTTTGGTTCCCCCAGAAGCTGGTTTCTTGAGGGTCAGAGTTTCTGCGTTCTTCCGAGCTTGAGTTTCCTCCCACCAGTTAAGCATCTTCATTCTAAGACAATGAAACCCCTGGTGAATTCTGCAGTCAGCCCCCACCTCCACTTCAGTGCCAGGATCCACCCCCACCCAAGTCCCCTCACCTTTCCCAGAGCAAGCCCTGGGTGCTGCCAGAGGACCAGGCTGTCTGCATGCTGGTTCCGTGACCAGCCTACCCATTGGATGGTGATCATCCTGCTTCTTGTCCTGGACCCTCTCTCCAGCCTCTCTGCAGGCCTCCTGGCCTCCAGGCTGTCCCCTACTGGGCCCTAGAAATGGCCCTGCTCCTGACTTGGTCATAGCCCTCCTGAGGGTCCCAGCAACTCCAGGATGAAGTTCCTTTAGCTTGGGGATTCCCATGGCCGTTCCTTCCCTGTGCTTCCCTTGTAAGTGTGCAACCATCCGCCTGTCCATCCATCTATCTGTCTACCTATCTATCTATCTATCTACCTACCTATCTATCTATCTATCTATCTATCTATCTATCTATCATCTATCTATCTATCTACCTATCTATCATCTATCTACCTACCTACCTATCTATATATCATCTATCATCTCTGTCTTTCCCCCTCCCAGCAGCCATCAGTAGACATCTATCATCTATCATCTATTTATTGATCACCTATCATCTATCTTTTGATTGATCATATATTTATCGATCATCTATCTATCAATCATCTATCTGTCTAGTTATCATGTATCTCTAGATTATCTATCATCTATCTATCTATCATTTATCTATCCTCTATCAATTATCTATTACTTATCCTTTATATATCTATGATCTATCTACCTTCCTTCTTCCTATCATCTATCTACTTATCATATATCTATGGATTATCTATCTATGATCTATCTATGATCTATCTGTTATCTATCATCTACCTATCGTCTATCTATGGATTATCTGTCTGTCATCTATCTATTGTCTATCTATCAATCTATTATCTCTCTGCCTATTATCTATTTATCTGTCAATGATCTATTGTCTACCTATCAATCTATTATCTGTCTATCCACCATCTATAGATTACCTATTACTTATGTATTATCTATCTACCTTCCTTCCTCCTATCATCTATCTATTATCTATTATCTATCTACCTTCCTCCTATCTATCCACCTTCCTTCTTTTATATGTATTTTCATTTATTTATTTTAACATTTTTATTGAATTTTTGTGATTTTCATACAATATATTTTGATTTTGATGCTCTCAGGTTCCCTCCCCCATCTGCACCTCCCTCCCCTTCCTCAATTTAATGGACTCTATTACATATATTTTGGCAACCAATGGCTGCTGGGAGGGGGAGAGTCAGTCTCTTTCAGGGATGGGCCTCTTGGTAGGTTAACCACTGTCCTAGTTTGTTCTTCATTGCTGTAACAAAACACTCTGACCACTACCAACTTGGGGAGGAAAGAGTTTATTTATCTTACATCTCCGGGGTCACAGTTCATCAGGGAGCCCAGGGCAGGAACTCAGGGCAGGAACCTGGAGGCAGGAGCTGGAGCACAGGCCATGGAGGAACGCTGCTTACTGGCTTGCTCCCTGGCCCCTGCTCAGCCTGCTTTCTTATGCAACACAGGCCCACCTGCCCAGGGGTGGCACCACCCACAGTGGGCTGGGCCCTCCCACATCACTCATCAAGAAGATGCCCCTCAGACATGGCCACAGGCCAGTCCAATAGAGGCAATTCCCCAATTGAGGCTCCCTCAACCCAGGTGTGTCAAGTTGACACTAAAGCTATCCAGCACAACTAGGCCCCCATGGGAAGGACCCACCCTGGCAGAGGCTGTAAGGAAGCCAGGCACTAAAAGTCTGTCTGTCTTTCTATGTTTTTTTTTTTCTTCTGTGTTTTAGCACGCACTAAAAATCACGTGTTAACTCATGGTTGGCTGTGCTTCCTGGGGTTGGAAGGACCAGTGGATCAATTTGACTTGAAGGATATGCCCATGACTGACACATTCAGTATGTGTGGAGTACACGTTTCCTTTAAGCCCATGTAGAAGGTTTATGGAAACTGAACAAGAATTAGCTACTAAGAAAATAAAAAGTAGGGATTATCCACAGTGTGCATTCTGACCTAATTGTATTTAAGCTAGAAATGAGAAGGATTTAGCAGGGTCTGTAGGTACAGGCCTATGACCCCAGCTACTGTGGAGGTTAGCAGGAGAATTGCATGTTCAAGACCAGCGTACACAGCATACTGAGACTCTTAAAGTATGAAGAAGGCTGGGGTGTGGCTCAGTGGTGGAGCCCCTGCCTAGGATCCCCCAGTGAGGGCCTGGAGTGTGGCTCAGGGGTAGAGCCCCTGCCTAGAATCTCCCAGTGGGGGGGCTGTGGGTGTGTTTTAGAGACCTAGTGAGGGGCTAGGGTGTGGCTCAGTGGTAGAGCCCCTGGCTAGGATCCCCCAGTGAGGGGCTGGGGTGTGGCTCAGTGGTGGAGCCCCTGCCTAGGATCCCCCAGTGAGGGGCTGGGGTGTGGCTCAGGGGTAGAGCCCCTGCCTAGAATCTCCCAGTGGGGGGCTGTGGGTGTGTTTTAGAGACCTGCAGTTGCCTAGTATGTCCAAGGACACATTCAGTCCCCAGGACTTGCAAAAGGAAAAGTAGGGGAGTGGGGACATTTCTAAAAATCTGTAGTTCAAAAAAGTCATAATAGAAATTAGAAATGTTTTAATCAAATGATAATAAATAAATTATATCTGTGTCTGTGAGATGCAATTAAAGTTGTGTTTAAGGGAAATGTATAGCTGTAAAAGCAAACAAGGAATGGCTGGACACTGCTGACTTGAACCCCCCTCAATAGAAACTAAAGTTGGGAGAAAGTGTGAGGAAGAAAATTAACGTCATAAGTCAATACAGGGCTGGCGAGAGGGCTCAGTGGGTAAAGGAGCTTGCCACCAATCCTGAGTTCAATACCTCGGGCGGCCCACAGAGTGGAAAGAGAGAATCAACTCCTGCAAGTTATCTTCTGACCTCCATTTGCATGCCATAAGACACACACACACACACACACACACACACACACACACACCAATGAATGCTGTTAAAAACACAAGTCAGTGTGGCAGGCAGGCTTGGTGATGAATTTGAACTCCATACTCATACCAGTATGATGAGGAAGAAGAAGAGCAAGCTGCTTGCGATGGCGCCACACACAGTGCCTTGGATCAGACCTTTCAGGAACACTCTAGACACGGAGTTCTTACCTGGGATGAGAGGGTGGTCCTGAAGGTTTGAGCTGTGACTCTGCCCTCTCTCTCTGCCCCCTGCCTGTTCTCACCCTGACCCCGGGTGTTGTCCCTCTGACCTAGTCGCTAGTTTTCTTATCCTCACTTGGAATCAGGAGGACTCTGAAGGCATGAACTCTGTATTGGTTCCTCCCCTCACAACGGAGTCTCCTGATGATTTCTGGCTCCCACATCAGGAGGATGGTGCTGTTGGCCCAGGGGGCCAGCATGGTGGAGGTCACCTGGAGGATGATGTCCGTGCTGTTTGCACTCACAGGGGCGTCGTCCACCCACCACTCCACAGAGGGTGTGGGGATCCCGTGGAAGGAAGTGCTGCACCTCGGATTCTTCCTCAGCAGACAAGAGAAGTTGAGCAGCTTGGTGGGTGCTGTGGAGAGAGAGGACTGAGGGTCAGGAGGGCCAAGGGTTGGGGGGCTGAGGGTCGGTGGGGGCAAGGGTCGGGAGCCAGAGGTTCCCACTTTCCTTCACTTCCTCTGAAGCCCAACCTTCTCTTTTAATTTCTAAAGATACATCTTATTTTTATTTTAAATTTTTTATTTATTTTACTTTTATTTTATGTGTATGTATGTTACACCTCCATGTATATAAGTGCACCTGTGCCATGCAGTGCTTGTGGAAGCCAGATCTAGGATCCTCTAGAACTGGAGTTATAGATGGTTGTTAGCCATCATGTAGGTGCTGGGAACTGAACCAGGGTCCTGTGTAAGAGTAGCCAGTGCTCTTAACCACTGAGCCGTCTCTCCAGCCCCTTATTTTTAATTATGTCTGTGTGTATGTCTATATTTGTGTATGTGCATATGTGAGTGCAATGCCCATGGAGGCCAGAAGAGGGTGCAGAACCCTCAAGACTAGAGTTATAGGCAGTTGAAAGCTGCCTGGCGTGGGTACTGGGAACTAAACTCATGTCCTTTGCAAGAGCAGCAAACATTCTCAACCACCAAGCTACCTCTCCACCCCCTCTTTATTTTTAATTATGTGCATGTGTGCCCCTCTCTGAGTGTGTATGTGCACTTGTGAATGCAGTGCCCAGAGAGGCCAGAAGAGGACACTGGATCCCCTGGAGCTGAGGTTACAAGAGGTTGTGAGCCATCCAACATGGATGCTGGGAACTGAACCCCAGACTTCTGCAAGAGCAGCAAGCATTCTCAACCACTGAGTCACCTCTCCAGCACCTTTATTATTTTAAATTATGTAATGTGTGTGCATCTCTCTGTGTGTATGCACACATGAGTGCAGTGCTCACAGAGGCCAGGTAAGGGCATTGGATCCCCTGAAGCTGGAGTTGCAGGAGGCTGGGAGCCACCTCACAGGGGTGCTGGGAACTTATCCCAGGACCTCTGCAAGAGCAGCAAGAGTTCCTAACCACTGAGCTGTCTCTCCAGGCTCCTGGCCTTCTTACTCTAATTCCACAGGAGCTTCAAAGCCACTAGGAGAAGCTGAGATTCAGAATTCTCTTTCCTCTTTTCTCCTGGACCCGGGCTCCACTCCGACCTCTGGCTCCTCAGCTCCAGAGGGTCAAATGCGACAGCTCCCCTCCACCCTCAGGTCCCCCTCAGGGTCCACCGTTTCCCCCAGACTCTAGCCCGACTGCGGCCACTGCACTCACAGAACAGCTGCATCTTGACCGTGCTGCTCCTGGACAGGTTTAGTAGGGAGAAATTCAGGCGGCACGGGAGAGTGGCACCCTGGTCCTCAGGCTTCGCAGTGACCAGCACCTCTTGGGGGGAGTGTCGCGAGGCAATGGTGTTGGAAGACGTGATGGGACCGGTCCGGGACAGGAAAGCTTCGTCGTCTTTGCAGGAGCCTTGGACGGTGCAGGTCAAAGTCACAGTATCTCCAGCCCCGAGACTTCCTGCAGTGCGGTGTTCTGAGTGCTGAGTCAGGTCTGGAGGCGAGGGACAGACAGGTATGTTTAGGTCCAGACTTTAGGGGAGTAGCTGCCGTGTGGGTACTAGGAACCAAACCTGTGTCCTCTGCAAGAGCAGCAAGACCTTATAACCACGAAGTCATCTCTCCAACCCTCTGAAGTCTGAATTTCTTTTTTTTTAAATTTTATTTATTACTTTTATTTTATGTGTATGCGTGTATTGCCTGGATGTATGTGAGTGCACCCGTGTCGTGCAATGCTGCGGAGGTCAGAAGAGAGCTTCAGATTCCCCTGGAACTGGAGTTAAGGATGGTTTGTAGCCACCATGTGGGTGCTGGGAATTGAGCCCAGGTCCTCTGGAAGAGCAGTCAGTGCCCTTACCTATGGAGCCATTTCTCCAGCCCTTCTATCAACTTCTCATCCACTAGTCTCTACCCATCCTTGACCTTCTCTGGGCTGTCCTTCCACAGTGTGACCTTTCTGTTGACTGCTTTAGAACTTGCTACCCACAACGTCCAGCTTTTTTAAAAAAATATATTTTATTTTTATGTTCACAGGTGTATTGCCTGCATGTAAGTAAGTGCACCTGTGTTGTGCAATGCCCATGGAGGTCAGAAAAGGGTGTTGGATCCTCTAGAACTAAAGTTACTGATAGTTGTTCATTGCAATGTGGGTGCTAGGAATTGAACCTGGGTCCTCTGGAAAAGCAGTCAGTGCTCTTAACCACTGAGCCATCTCTCCAGCCTCTGAAGTCTGAATTTCTTAAAAAAAAATACTTAAATTACATTATTTGGGGCTAGTCAGATGGCTTTCACATTGTGGAGGGAGAGAACAAATTCTCACAAATTGTCCTCTGACTTCCACACATGTTGTGGCATAGGTGTGTGTGTGTGTGTGTGTGTGTGTGTGTGTTTGTGTGTGTGTGTGTAAAACACCTAAGGTTTTATAACACCCAGCACCTGTTGGCTTGTAGATTTTTGGTTTTTTGAGATAGGTTGTCACTATACAGCCCTGGCTGGCCTGGAACTCACTATGTAGACCAGGCTGACTTCAAATTCACAGAGATCTGCCTGCCTCTGCCTCACAAGTGCTGGGACTAAAGGTATGTGCCATCACCCTGGCCTGAAGGTGCCCAGGGCTTGACAAAGTGAAAATCACATAATTCCCAGAACCCCCTCAGGTCCCCTCCTTCCTGAACCACTTAGTGTGAGCCTGCACATCACCTGTCACAGAGAGCTCAGTGTTCTCCCTTGAGACAGCGCCTTCCCGCTCTCCTAGAGCTTTGTAGAACGAGTCCGTCCTGTTGTCCCTTCTGAGTGTCTTGTGGGCCAGCAGGACACAGTCTTGTTCCTCGGGGCTCCCAATGGTGAGGACTCTGTCCCCTGCGTCTCCACCTGTGGAAACCCTGGGTTCACTCCCAGCTGCAGAGATGTTGAGGTTTGCACTGAGCCCATAGTCCACAGATGCAGGAATGCTGGAAGATGCTTTGGAAAATTCGAGCACACAGGGGATTGTCCTGCACAGGTCATCTTCCACTGAGATGTTCTTGACTTCCATCAGAACGTGAGACAGTAGCTCTGTGGGGAGAGATCTAGGATGAAACCAGCCTCACTTCGTGCCCTGAGTTCTGCATGCATTAAAGGATCGCATTGCCTAGGACAGGCTTGGTATTTGCCCAGCTCCTAGGAAGTCCCTTTGGAGCCCCAGCAAGTCCTTCTTAGTAAGAGAGTGTTTGTTTTGCAGAACAATGGGCTGCACCACAAAGTCTAAGATAAAGATAGGATTTATGGGACTGGAGAGCTGGCTTGGCCTTAAGAGCACTGGCTGCTCTTGTAGAGGACCCGGGTTAGGTTCCCAACACTGACATGGTGGCTAACAACCATCCATAACTTCAGTTTCAGAGCCCTCTTCTGGCCTCTGCAGGCATTGCATGCACAGGTGCACTTACATACACACAGGCAAAACGCTCATGTACATAAAATAAAGATAAATTTTTTAAAAGATGGGTTTAAGATGGGGTCCTTGGGATACACAGCACTGTGAGGTTACAGTCTAGCTGCCATTCTGTCTTCTAAGGGTCAGCTTGTGCTCTCTTGCATCTCTCTCTGTACAGAGAGGTGATTTGTAGCTTGTGGTGGCCTTACGCCATAAGCCTAGCCCTCACTGATACCCAGACCCAAGATAGCCCTGAAATAAAGTTTTACATTTTAAAATTACATTTGTTTATTTATTTATTTATTTATTTAGTCTTTCTCTCTGTATGTCTGTGTATATGTGTATGAGGAGGTCAGGGCACTCCGTGTGTGTGTGTGTGTGTGTGTGTGTGTGTGTGTATGAGGAGGTCAGGGCACTCTGTGTGTCTGTCTGTCTGTGTGTCTATGTGTGTGTCTGTGTCTGTGTCTATGTGTGTGTGTCTGTATGTCTGTCTGTGTGTATCTGTCTGTGTGTCTATGTTTGTGTGTGTCTGTCTGTATGTCTGTCTGGGTGTCTGTGTGTGTGTCTGTGTCTGTGTGTCTGTCTGTGTGTCTGTGTGTGCATGTGTGTGTGTGTGTGTGTGTGTGTGTGTGTGTGTGTATGAGAAGGTCAGGGCACAACTTGCAAGAGTTAGTTCTCTCCAGCCACCATGTGGGGCCCAGATCATCACACTTGGTAGCAAGCACCTTTACCTGCTGAGCCATCCTCCCTGACCAGAATTATGACTTTACTTTTATCTAATGCCTTCTCACACTGTGACTCCTGCCATGTTGGCTAGGTCATAGGTGTGGACCCTCTCCAATGCCTGCCAGTCTGTATGAGCAGGACAATCCTTTTGTCTTAGGGATGTGAACGATGTCTCCCTTCACGTTTCCTGTCATGCTATCTGTGATGGCTGTGAGTCTAATAAAGTTGTTCTAAAGGATAATTCATCCTAGCTGCCCTTAGCATCTTTCATTTTCTTTAAGATTTAGTTTGTGTGTGTGGATGTGTGTGCGCCTGTGTGAGTTTATGAGCACCACGTTTATTGCAACACCTGTGGAGGTCAGAAGAGGGCATCAGAGTCCCTGAATCTGGAGTTATGGATGTTGTTAGCCATCATGTGGGTGCTGGGAACTGAACCCGGGTCCTCTGCAAGAACAGCCAGTGCTCTTAACCACCAAGCCATCTCTCCAACCCCATAACCATGCGTTATTGTTGAGAGAGTCAAGTGATATATGCATAGCTTCCCTAGGACAGGACAACCAGAAACTTGCCCCCCTCTTAAAAATTCTTTTTAAATGTTTATTTATTTACAAATTTATTTATTTTTATTTTAGGTGTATGAGCATTTTGCCTGCATGTATATAGGTGCACCTGTGTAACACAATGCCCTAGGAGGGCAGAAGAGGGTGTCAGATCCCCTAGAACTGGAGTTATAGATGGTTGTTAGCTGCCATGTGGGTGTTGGGAACTGAACCTGGGTCTTCTGCAAGAGTAGCCAGTGCTCTAACTGCTGAGCCATCTCCCCAGCTCCCCTCCATTGATCTTAATCTATACAATTTTGTTGTAATGCTCTATCACTGTAGATATAACAGTTCCATTGAATTACTTTTCTGAGACAGGCTTTCTAAGCCACATGGCCCTCAGACTCCCTATAGAGCTGAAGATCAACTCTTGATCCTCCTGCTCCTACCTTCCAAGTGCTAGGGTTATGGCCACGTATCACCACACCTAGTTTATGCAGGGCTGGGGATCGAACCCAGGGCTTCATGCTAGGAAAACACTCTGGGCCACATCCCAGACTCAGTTCTGTTGACTTATTTTAAAGATATATTTATTCTTTGAAAATTCCATGCACACATACAATGTACCATGATCATATCACCCTGACTTTTTTTTTTTGTTTTTTTGAGACAGGGTCTCCCTGTAGTCCCAGCTGACCTGAACTCACTATGTAGACCAGGCTGGCCTTGGACTCACAGAGATCTGCCTGCCTCTGCCTCCCGAGTGCTGGGACTAAAGGCATGCGCCACCACACCCGGCAATTATTTTAAGTGAGTCTTAGTGCCATCTGTACACTCAGGGGTGTGGGCTCATGCACTATGGTAAGGGGAACCTAGTGGTGATCACCTGTATCAATTCCTTTTCTGTTGCTGTGATAAAACACCATGACCAAGGCAACTTATAGAAGGATGAGTTTCTTGGGCTTATGGTTCACAAGGAACAGCAACACCCCCCCAGCCGTCAACTGTCAACAGCACTAAGGCAAGGGCCTTAGTAGCCCCACCCCCATCCAAGGTGGAGTGTTGACTGGCTTGATCCTGTGCAGGTCTTATGCCCGTAACCACAACTGCTATGAATTCATGTGTGCAACAACAGTGTCACGTTCAGAAGGCAGCATTCCACAGATCTTCCATCCGTCCACTTCTGCCATGTCCCCTGAGCCTTGTGGGGAGGGCAAGGTGGATTCAGATGTCTCACCTACAATGCAGCACTCACAGTCACTGAATCTCAGCACTCGGGACAGCTATGAGTCTCTGCATTAACCACTGCCCTCTGCAATAGAATTCTTTGAGTCATTTCACCTAACAGGTGACTTCCCGAGCAGTGTCGGCCCAATTTGGTCCTCTGGTTTTACAGTTGTTCTCAATGTACATTGAAGTGATGTAAGAACCAAAAAAGAAGCTGCCTCTGTGAACCCGTGTGCTCCAGATAGAAAGATTCCCTTGTGCAGGGAGGAGGGAGACCCAGTGAGCTCATGACACTCACAGAGCTCACGAGTCCCCTCCCTGAGGTTATGTGGGGCCTACAGATTGAGGTTTGTGTCCCAAATTCCCTTTGGTGTGGGTCCATCCACTGGAGCCTGGTCAGCCTACCAAGAATCTCACCCTTAATGAGACTGAATCTTCCCTTCCCAGCAGCCATTGGTGGCCAATAGTTCCTCAGACAGGGCTGGGGTTTTTTTACTTGCTTCCCCGTCTGTGCTGGGATTTTGTCTGGCTTAAGCCTTGTGCGTATGGCAAATTATTTATATGATCTGAAGATAAACCAAAGCATTGTAATTTTTTGATTTGTTTTATTTTGTGTGTATGAGTATTTTGCCTGCATGTATGTAAGTACACTGAATGTGTGCAATGTCTATGGAGGCCAGAGGAGGACACTGGATCCCCTGGAACTGCAGTTATAGACAATTGTTAGCTGTCATGTGGGTTCTGGGAACCAAACTCCGGTCCTCTGCAAGAGCAGTCAGTGCTCTAACCACTGACCCACCCCTCCAGTTCCTAGAGATGTAGTTTTCGGTCATGTGGCTACTTTTGAGTCACCCATTCCCCTGTAAGTGATCCTAATAAACTCATCAGTTTCCCAAGCTGGACTTGGGCGGACTAGTTTCTCTCTCTGTGGAGAATGGAAACACTCAGCAGTCAGAGAGGTGCGGCCTGTGGTCTTCTGTAACAATGGCAGAAAGGAACTGCTCACAGCAGGCAGTTCCCTTGCCCTCCCTTTAAGGTCTTTCCTGGTGACTGGTCTCACAGTGTGCTGTGTGTTACTTACCCAAACACAGCAGTGGGTGTGCTCTGGGTCCCAACAGCATTCCAGGGAGGAGATAGCACAGAGCTGGATTCTGCTGCTAGCTTCTGCCTCAGATTTGAATGTCCTGGAGGGCAGGATTTGGGGTGAGTGAGAACAGGTGGGGCAGAAGAGACGGATGGAGGGACTTTAGCTCCTCAACCACACTTAAGGTCTCACTATCGTCTGTCTGAGTTTGCTTTCTGTTGCTGTGGTAAAACACCAATCAAAATCAAATTGAGGAGGAAAGGGTTTATTTTGCTTACAGCTCATGGTCCATCATCCAGAGAAATCAGGGCAGGAACCTGGAGGCAAGATCTGACGCAGTGACTGTGGAGGAATGCTGCTTACTGGCTTGCTTCCCCTGATTTGCTCAACTACCTTTAAAAATTTTTTTAATTTATTTTATTTTATGTGAGTGTGAGTGTACTGCCTGCATGTGTGTAAGTGCACCTATGTCGTGCAATGCCTGCGGAGGTCAGAAGAGGGCATCCCATCTCCTGGAACTGGAGTTACAGATTGTTGTTAGCCACCATGTGGATGCTGGGAATCGAACCTGGGTCCTCTGTAAAAGTAGTCCCTGTTCTTAACTGCTGAGCCAGCTCTCCAGCCCCTCAGCTGCCTTTCTTACACAGCCCAGGCCTACCTGCCTAGGGATAGCACAGCCCACAGTGGGCTAGGTCCTCCTACATCAACTAGCAATTAAGAAAACGCCCCACAGATATGCCCACAGACCACTCCAATGCCGGAAGTTCCTGAGGTTCCTCTCAGGCAACTCTAGCCTATGTTAAGTTGACAGAAACTCACCAGTACATCTTCTGACCCAGGATCCTCACAACAACACATGCAGGGAGCTCTGAGGACAGGTGTCTTACTGACCATCTGGGACACCCATCACATCTGCCTTTGCCTCTTCTTGACCTCACTGCCTGGCTTCCTCCACCTTCAAAGGCTGAGGAGCATGGTCATGGAAAGGTTTGGGACGGTTGGAGGATTAGGTGTTAGTTTTACAAAGGCGCCTTTGGGGATAGGTGATGGAGTTTGGACTGGAACTACATGGGAAAAAAGGCATAGATTTAAGAGTGAGATGTGGGGCTGAGGAGATGGCTCAGCTGGTAAAGTGATTGCTAACATGGCGGCTAACAACCACCCATAACTCCAGTTTCAGGGAATTCAGCGCCCTCCTCTGGCCTCCATGCACAATGCATGCATGTGTAGTATGCCTACTTACATGCAGCAAAATACCCAAACATATAAAATAAAAATATATACTTGCATACATAAATAAATCTTAAATAACTAAGATAAAGTCAAGCATGGTGGTGAACACCTTTAATGCCAGCACTCGGCAGGCAGAGGCAGGCGGATCTCTGTGAGTAAATAGCAAGTTTCAGGCCAGCCAGAGCTACATGTGAGACCCTGTCTCAAAAAAAGAAAAAAAAATGTAGAGAACGATTGTTCTGGTTGGTTTGAAATGTCAACTTTCTATAAGCTGGAATCACCTGAGGAACAGCCTAGATCAGGCTGGTCTTCGGGGAACTGTCTTATTGTTGATTGATGTGGGAGGATGAAGCCCCTGTTCACAGTACCGTTCCCTGAGCAGGTGGTGCTGGACTGTGTAATGAGCATGGGCAAGCTAGCAAGCAGGCAGAAGGTGCACTGGCTCCCCTCTGCCCTTAACTGTGGATGTGATGTGACCAGCTGAGTTCCTGCCTTGACCTTCCTGAACTGACGGACTATGAGCTGACACTGTCAGCCAAATAAACTCGTTCCCCCTCTTTTGCTTTTATTCAGGGTGTTTTATCACAGCAATAAAAAAAAGCTAGGTCAGCAATCAGGGAGATGTCCAACATCTACTCCAGCCTACACATGCACGTGTATACATGTGTACACACACACACACACACACACACACACACACACAACTAAGAGAATAAAATAAGAGAGAAGTATAAGAAGCAAACACTGCAACTTATTACCCTCATGCCTTGGCCTCCCAAGTGCTGGGATGACAGATGTGGTACCTAATTCCAGATCCAGTCTGACGTAACGTCTTGGACGCTCCTGCCTGAATCCCAGTCATGGTCTAATCTGACCTCTATTCCAGGGGGTCTGACTCAGGCACACTCTGAGCATTTTGTACAAAATCCACTCTGGCTTCCTCATTATTTTAGATTTGTCTAGACAATCATGTCCCAAGTTTAAAAAAAAAAAAACCAAAAAACCGAAACTAAAATTTTTCTTTAAAAACAATCTCTATTTCTGGGGCTGTCTCCAGAAACACTGGAGACACAAGAACACTGGCTGCTCATGCAGAGGACCAGTTTGGATCCCAGTACCGACAGGTGGCTAACAACTACCTATAACTACAGCTCAAAGGGATCTGTTGCCCTCTTCTGTTGCATCCATGTGTGTACTAGCAAAAGTTCAGGGTGGATTAAAAACAAAAACCTCTAGTAATGATAAGGCAAACGCATGTCAGAGAGTTGAAGGGGGTGTGTCTTTGAATCTAGCAGTGATATAAAATGATCAGCCAGCCTAATCTAATTGGTGAGGCCCCAGGCTAGTGAGAGACCCTGTCTCAAAGGAGGTGACACCTGAGATTGTCCTAAAACCGCCACAGCCACTCACACATGTACACCCCACAACATACCTACATAAAAAATAAAGAAAACAGAGGAGAATGCTTTTTTTTTTTTTTTGGTCTTTTTGAGACAGGGTCTCCCTGTCCTGGAACTCACTATGTAGACCAGGCTGGCCTTGAACTCACAGAGATCCGCCTGCCTCTGCCTCCGGAGTGCTGGGATTAAAGGCAGTGCCTCCATGCCCGGCCGGGAGAATGCTTTTTAAAAGTAAAATATTTCCTAATTTCCCTTGGGTTACAGGTTGAATTTTCTTTTTTGGTGTGTTGGTGGGTGTCCTCGTGTGAGTGCAGGTGCCTGTGAAGGCCAGAAGAGGGCGTCAGATCCTCTGGGGCTGGACTTCGAAGGGGTTGTGAGCTGACAGATACAGATGTTGGGAGCTGAACCCTGGTCCTTTGCAACAGCAGCAAGCACCCTTAACCACTGAACCATCTCTCCAGCCCCCCACAGCCAACCTCTAAGCCATCTTTTCCTCCTCCAAGTTTACCTCCTGGTCTTGGGTTCCCGGAGCCCCTGGCTGGCCCTCCCTCAGGTGCGTCCGGTCTATTCCAGGCGTTTTGTGGAAAGTGTCCAGTGAGGAGCCGACTTACAGTGGTCGTCACTGAATGCAGGAGTTAGTTTCAGAGGGGTTTACCTATTGGGCTGATTTAAGGATGCAAGTCTGGGAGCAGCTGAGGTTGGCAGGGGTAACTGAATAGCTAAGAGACGCGCCTCTCACGAAGGTCCGCCCCCAAGGGTACCAAGGAGTATGCGAGCGCCTGTTCTGAACCAGTTAGAGCCGTAGGATGCCCAGTGGGGCGCCTGGGGATGGGGCGGCAGGTGTCCTGAGTTAGCAACTAGCCTCTACCAGTCAAGAGAATGTCTTTTCCTTGTCTTGAGCAGATGGCTCTAGACCCGGGCGGATCTCCTACCTAAACTCAACAGCTGGAACAAGAGATGGGGTGGTCGGAAGCTTCTGGGCCTGGAACAGACGTCTGCCCACGCTTGACTCCCACAGCCAATCAGAAGCGTCCTGTGTACCCCTTTGCTTTCTCGCCGGATCTGAAGTGTCCGTTAACCAAGCAACACTCAGGAGGAAGTTCAGACTCTCCCTCCCATGTCCAAAGCCCATCCCTGACCTATCCCCAACCAGGCCCCCATCCCCTCTCTTGGTTTTGAAACAGGGTCTCACTGGAATTGCCTGGAACTGGAGCACACTATGTAGCCCAGGCTCGCCTGGAAATGGAACTATGTGGCCCAGGATGGCCTTAAGCCTGAGTGTGGGGACAGTCATGAGCCTCTTACCTAGTGTCTCGTTCCTATTTAATTCTCTCTTTTCCCAGACCTACCTCCTTCTCCCTCTCCAACTCCAACCCCCTCACATTCCATCTGCATTCAAATATTAATTCCCAGGAAACTCCTCATACTTGCAAGATTCACAAGGTTCTTCCCCAGTGTTATACAAGCAGTAAGAATTCCTGATGAGGCTCCCCAACTGGCCCAGCTGCCTGTGCCATTCGGGGATGCAGTTTTCATGAGTCATCCATCACCCATGTTGGTGGGCTTTATGGTGCTGCACCTGCCTTTGAGTCACCCACACTCCTGAAAGCAAGCCCTCACCCACACTCCTGTAAATAACACACACAAAAACCCTCACTGGTGCACCAAGCTGGCACTGGGTGGGATTGTTTGGGATGAATACATGTTTCATGTTCAGGTCTCCTCAGGGAAAGTCAGATGATACCCAGTACACACTAATTCACATAGACAAAGCTCCACTGGGGCTGGTGAGATGGCCAGACAACCTGAGTTTGATCCCTGGGACCCACATAGTGGAAGGGGAAAACCAGCTCCTGCAAGCCGTCTTCTGACCTCCGCGTGTGTGCGCACACACACACACAAAATAAAATGTAGGGGCTAGAGAGATGACTCAACAGTTAAGAGCACTGGCTGTTCTCAAAGAGAATCTGGGTTCTATTCCCAGCTTCTATGTGGCAGCTCACAACCAACTGTAGCTCCAGCTCCAGGGGATCCATCGCCCTCTTCTGGCCTCTGCAGGGACTGCATGTACATGCACACACACGCTAAGCTCCTCAGAGTGCTTGAGTCCTTACAAATTCTGGCCCCTCAGAGCTAAACCCTCTCACTTCAGGCCTGCTCTATGCTCTTGAACTCATCAGATCTCTCCATCTTAGAGCCCAGAATCTTCTGTTCACTCTGGCTGGCTCCTGTTATCACACTGACTCTCAGCTCCATCCCCAACTCTGGTGCAAAGCTGATTCCACTCCTGTATTTTCTCTGTGTTCTGGTTTCTTCCTGATGCTTGCCCACATTTAAAAAATAAATTTGTGTTTCTGTGCTTGTGAGTGTATGGTATATGTGCAGTGTGAGAGCTCAGGTATGCACCCGTGTGTGAAGGCCAGAAGAAGGCATTGGGTGATCCATCTGTCACTCTCTAGTCCTTTGAGGCAGAGCCTCTCTCTAAACTGGGGTCTCATGTATTCTCATCTGAAAACAAGCAAGGCCCAGCCGTCCTCCTGTTTCTGTCCCCCTTGGAGCTGAGATTATAGGACATACATACACACAGGTGCTGGGATCTGCCTGTGGAGCAACTGCTCTTAACCACTGAGCCTCTGCAGTCCCTATCCACATTTTATTTATTTTTTAATATTTATTTATACTTTATTTTTTAAGTTGTGTATGAGTATTTTGCCTACATGTAGGTAAGTACACCCAGGTGTGCAGTGCCTGCAGAGGGCAGAGGAGGGCATCAGATCCCCTGGAACTGGAGTTATGGATGGTTGCTAACCTCCATGTGGCTGCTGGGAACTGAGCCCAGGTTCTCTACAAGAACAGCCAGTGCTCTTAACCATGAACCATCTCTTCAGCCCCTCCATTTGTCTTTTAATATTTATTTTTATTTTATATTTATGAGTGTTCTGTCTGAATGTATGTAAAGTGCACCTGTGTTGAGCAATGCCTGCAGAGGCCAAAAGAGAACATAAGTTGCCCTGGAACTGACAGTTATGGAACAGTTGTTAGTGGCCATGTGGGTGCTGGGAACCAAACCTGGGTCCTCTGCAAGAGCAGCCAGTGTTCTTAGCTGCTGAGCCGTCTCAGCCAGGGCCCACTTAAACTATTAGTTTTATTTCTTTGCTGCCTTGTGTAGACCACAACACTGAACATAGGGCCCACATCTTGCTCGTTCCTCTCATCATCTGACATATGCTGGGAGCTTGTGGAATGTGAGCTGCACAGAGGATGGGGCTCTCTCTCACGCAGGCATATAAACATCTACCCTGAGCACCAGCTGGCCATCTCATGGCTGTTGCAGGATCACAAGGACTGCCCTAGGGAAGGAATGATCCCCCTTCGACCGCTAAGAACCATTGGCATCTGACTCCAGAACGTGGCTGCCCTCCGTTCTGAGGGGAATAGTGCATAGCCATGGTCCACTCTGATGCCAGAATCCTGTGTCTGTGCCTTGCATGTTGGCGTTTCAGTTGTCTGGGTGCAGTGGGATCAGTCCTCTGAATCTTGGCCACAGTGACTCCATTTTGCAACAAGATGCCATTTAGTTGTTATATGTGCCAGACAGCAGTGAAACAGGCTGCCCTTCCCATGCTGTGTTTGCTGAGACTGTTGGAATCCCTGAGAAGGCGAGGACAGAGCACACAAACACTGGGAACTTCCTGGGTGTGTCTATGCCTGTCTGAGCCATAGACACCTCTGTTGCTTTAACATCGAGTGGTGCTCCACTGTTGACATTCAGACCCAAAAGTAACCATGGACACAGGGAATGCTTAATTCAAACGGCAGAGGGCTCAGCACCTCCAGGGCCAGAGCCCCGAGGGCCCTTTGGTTTTTCCTTTTATTGGCCTTGCAAAACAATTACAGCGTGAGAAGCAGAAGCACAGTCTGTTGTTTCTCACTAGACACAAACATTTTTCCAGCTACTTTTCCCCAGCTGCTGTCTGGGCACAAAGTCCTGCTGTGGCTACTGACTGTCTTCAAGGACATTCTGGCCTTTGGAATAAGAAGCTCAAGATGAAGGCTGTGGTGTCCATCAGGGTGCTGGTCGACAGCACCACACAGTTCTTTGTGTGCAAGGAACTTCGTGGCAGTCCTCCAACTTGCTTGCGACCTTCCAAAGCAGCTTGTCCAGTTAACACTATGTTGCCCAGTCTCTCCTCTTTATACTATTTGGTTCCCATCACTCTGAGCCCAAATCTGCACCAGTCCTTAGGCAGACTGACAGCCACAGAAAATGGTGGGTGGGGGTCGTCTTGGTTAGTTCTGTCAACATCTGAAAGTCTTGATTGACAAATTTAGCCAGGAGTTGTCTGGGTTGTGTTTGTGCAGGTCTTGTGAATTCTGCCACAAGCACCGTGGGTTCATATGTGCAACTTCCCTGTGTGTCTAGACAACATGGTTTCCCTGTGGTTGTCCACCACCTCTGGCTCTTACAGCCTTTCTGCCCCCTCTTCTGCACTCATCACGGAGCCTTGGGACCTCAGATTGGCCTGTGAGCATGTCTGTGGGGCATTTCATTTTTTTTTAATTTAAATTTTTTATTTGATGTGTATGAGTTGTTTTGCTTGCATGTAAGCAAGTGCACCCAGGTCATGCTCATGGAGGCCAGAAGAGGGTCTAGGAACCCCTGGAACTGGAGTCATGGGTGGTTGAGAGCCGCTATGTGGGTGCTGGGGACTGCCCCGACTTTCTTCAATGACAGGCTGTGACTTGGAAGTGTAACCAAGTCAACCCTCTCCTCCCGACTCTTCTTTTGGTGGGAGTGAAACAATGAAACTAGAGCAGCACACCGGCACACAAGCCACCCCCCCTCCTGTACGCAACCTTAATACAGCTCATCATTTTGCCAAGCTGGGGTCGTTGGGATCTCCGGCTGTCTGCACTCTGCTTATCTGGGGGGAATAGGCATTTCTTCCCCATCTCCCCAGGAAAGCCACGCAGCAGCAGGAAACAGTACACAGAGGCCCGGGTTTCAGTTCCCAGCACCCACATGGTAGTTCATGTACTGCCTGTAACTCTGGTTCCAGGGATCTGTCACCCTCTTCTGGCCTCTGCAGGTACCTGCATGAATGTGGTGCACTTAACCTCATGCAGACACACACACACACACACACACACACACACACATACACACACCACGCATCTTTAAAACAACGACAAGATTTCTGTTCCCATGGAATCAACGTTCTAAGACTCAGTATACACTCCCATGAAAGGTCCACTGTTCTATCTTGTGTTCAGGTCCAGCATGGTGCCTTTTCTCCACCTGGCTCTCTAGTACCACTGTTCAAAACCCACTCTGACTGCGTTATGTGAGTACACTCAAGGGCGGTCAAGGCAGAGCGGTGACCGGGAGGCCTGTGCAAAGGTGTCTGCTGAGTGAGGGTTGGGATGTGATTACAATGTAGCAGCATAAGTGCCTGTGGTTGGGGGGGGGCTTGTATGTGTCTGCGTGTAAGCACGCATGTGCATTTAGATATGTTTGTGTTTGATGTGAACATTTGTGCATAGATGTGCATGTGTGCACATGCATGCATGCACAGATGTGTCTATGTGTTTGTATGCGTGTGTCTCTGTGTATTGCATGTTTGAGTGTATTATTTATGTATGCGTGCATGTATGTGTTTGTGTGTTTTATGTGTATGTGCACGTGGGTACATGTGTATAGATGGATGCATCTGCCTGCATGTTTTTGTGCATATGCATGTATATGTGTGTATGCATGTGCGTGTTTCTATGTGTCCACACATGGGTATGTTTGCTTGTGTCTGTGTGCATGTATATCTGTATGTATGCATATATTGTGCATGTACATGTTTGTGCTTGCGTGTATATTTGTATGTGTCTGTGTGCACACGTGTCTGTCATACAGAAGGGATCAGAAGCCCGTCTCACCGTATCACTTTCCTTCCTTCCTGTGAGCTGCCCCAGGCGTGGGGCATGTTTCTTCCAGCTCAGCCAAACAACAAATCATACAGGTGACCTTCGGAGCTCCTGAGACCCCATGGAAACCGCGTGTGGGCTTGGGCCAAGAGGGCTTTGTGAGCTCAGACTCTCAGGATGGCAGGTTTATTAGGGACTCGGGGTTTCTGGGGTGTCTGTAACACCTGGGGTAACGGGGACTTCAGTGTGATGTGGGTTCCTCCGGCTTCATCCTCTTCAGGGTACCACGGTTTCCCTGGAGCAGGAGAAAGGAAGGGAGGGATGCTGGAGGAGGCTGGCAGACGCAGTGCCTTCATCTGGGCACAGAACCAGGGCAACACGGATCAGACGTCAACTCCACCTTCCTCACAGTCCCTGGCTGGAGCCTGCGACCCCGCCCTCTCCGTTCCTTCCATTCCTTCCACTGTGCATCCGGGAGTCCCCGGAACAGTCCCAGATCCCCAAGAGACGCTGCGTGTCGTCCTCGGGCAGGCTTGTCCTTCCTCCCTCCGGTCACTCTGACCCCCTGGCTCTGTCCTCTGAGGACGCCTTCCCTAGCAGCTTGGCCACTCTGAGGGCAAGGGCTGAGTCTGACCCATGTCTGAGACCTCAGGTAGTCCGGCATACCGACTAGGAGATAGTGCAGGAGGTACTGGAGGAATTGAACCCACGTCTGCCACGTTAGCTGCGCTTCTCTTTGGGACGACCAATACCTGCATCACAAGGGTGCGAAGGCTGCTTCTGACTCAGGGTTCCAGAAAGGGTGCGGCCCACCGTGGTGAGGAAGGCATGGCAGCAAGAATATGAAACAACCGGTGACACTGAACCCCCAATCAGGAAGGGAGAGTGGGCAGGAACTGGGGCCAGGCTACCAGATCTCAAGGCCTCCCCTCAGCTTCACCACCTATCGGCTAATCTGAAACTCCATTTGCATCATTACCTATAGACAGGGCAGAATTTCTCCAAAGCTCTGGGCAACCTCTTCCTGTTAATAGGATTCCATTGAGGCCTGGTGACACACGCCTTTAACAGCATCACTGGGAGGCAGAGGCAGGCAGATCTCTGAGTTTGAGGTCAGCCTGGTCTACATAGTGAGTCCCAGGCCAGCCGGGGCTACATAGTGAGATACTGTCTCAGAAACAAACACAAACAAAACCTGGTAGCCTGGACTCCAGGCACCGGGGTACTCACCGGGAGCTGGGTCCCAGAAGGTGGGGTGAGTGTATTTTTCTGGCTCCTTCCGCTTCTTGGATTTTTGCTGGGTTCCAACCTTCTGTGCCGTGATCACTGCACGTCTCTTGGCCCATTTTGCTCTGAGATGCTTCACTCTAAGAAGATGAGCTTCCCACCAGTTGTGATTTTCCACATCTATATTCCACACGGTTCTATCAGTTTTGACTTCCCACCTCCCTGCATCCCCACAGGGGCTCAGGTTTTTACCAGGCATTCTTGTCTGGAGCCTCAACAGCACAGTCAGCTTGCTGTGTTATCTGGGGAATGCTACCTAGCCGCCCTGGGAGTTAGTTTCACACCCTCTGTAATGGGGGATGCCCTGCTTATGAGGCCTCATGGCTCAGATCCATCAACTATCAAAGGTCCTTGCACTCTGTAGAAAGACTGCTATTTATTTATTCTATTTTTAAAAAGATTTATATTATTATTATTATTATTGTTATTATTATTATTATTATTTTTGTCTTTTTGAGACAGGATCTCCCTGTATCCCCAGCTGGCCTGGAACATGCTATGTAGATCAGGCTGACCTCAAACTCAGTGTTCCACCTGCCTCTGCCCCCCAAGTGCTGGGATTAAAGGTGTGTGCCACCATGCCAGGCTGATTTATCTTGTTTTTAATTATGAAGGTGTGTGTGTCTGTGTGCAGGTGCCCATGGAGGCCAGAGGTATCTAATGCCCTGCAGCTGGAGTTACAGGCACCCGTGAGCTGCCCAGTGTAGATACTGGGAACCAAACTCAGGTCCTCTGGAGGAGCAGTATGTATTCTTTTTAAAATTTCTTTTTATTTATTTATTTTAGTTTTATGTGTATGAGCGTATTGCCTGCATGTGTGTAAGTGTACCTGTGTCATGCAGCGTCCATGGAGAACAAAGAGGATGTCCAATCCCCTGGAACTGGAGTTACAGACAGTTGTTAGTTGCCATGTGGGTGCTGGTATTCGAATCTGGGTCCTCTGCAAGAGCAGCCAGTGCTCTTAACTGCTGAACCATCTCTCCAGCCCGTGTACTCTTTTTTTTTAGACAGGGTCTCACTGTAGCCTTGGTTGATTGACCTGAAATTTACTATGTAGACCAGGCTGGCCACAAACTCACAGAGACCTGCTTGCCTCTGCCTGCCGATTAAAGGTGTATGCTACCACACCTGGACCGTACTCACTCTTAGCCACTGAACCATCTCTCTAGCCTGGTTCTTTTGAGAAGCCCTGTGTAGCCCAAGCCAGATTCAAACTCACTACGTAGACCCTGGACTTCTGGTCATCTTGCCTCTTCCTCCCTGCTCCTGGTATTACAGTGTGCCTGACTACATTCAGCTTATGCAGCTTGGGAGACGGAGCCCAGGGCTTTGTGCATGCAAGCGTTCTACCACCTGAGCCACCCCAGCCCACTCTTCCCTGGGAACCCAGCTCCTCACCTTGCTGTGCCACCTCATGCCTGGCCTGTTCTTTCTTTCCCTCGATAGCCAGCCATTCCCAATTACCACCCCTTTTCACCGCCAAATAGGATTGGGGGGTGGGGGTCGGGCGGGTGGGGCCCCAAAGATGGCATTAGTAGCTTTCTAAGAGAAGGGAGACCTGAGCCACGGTGCTTGCCCAGTCTCACCATGTGATGCCATGTTGTGGTGCAGCAAGAAAGGTCCTCACTAGATCTAGATGTCAGCACCGTGTTCTCTCCAACTTCCAGCAGCATGAGCCAACTAAGCCTCTCTGCTTTGTACACCAGCTCGTCTCAGGTGTTTTGTTACAGTGCAGAAAGTGGACTGAGATGTACTCACATGAAGGCGAGGAGGCAGAGGAAGAGCAGCGTGATGGCCATGGCTGAATAGACAACGCCCTGGAACATTGCTTTCAGGAAGGTGTGGGGAGCCAAAGGACCCCTTCCTACAGGCAGAAGGCATTCCAGGAATAAATTACATTCATACTTTCATACATTTATTCATTTATTTATTTACTGGGGGCATACATGCCACAGCATGTGTGGAGGTCAGAGGACAACTTGTGGGAGTCAGTTCTGTACTTGTCTGGCATGAGGAGACTGAGCTCAGGTCGTCAGGCTTGACAGCAAGTACTTTTCACCATTGAGCCATCGTGCCCACCCTCAAGGAGTCTTTCATTTTTTAAAACACTTGTTTTATTTTTATTTTAGGCATATGCCACCTATGTTAAGGGCACCCATGTGTGCAACGCCCACAAAGGCCAGAAGAGGGTGTCAGATCCCCTGGAACTGGAGTTTACTAATGGTTGTTCGCTGCCATGTGGGTGCTGGGAACTGAACCCGGGGTTCTCTCCAAGAGCAGCCAGTGCTCTAACTGCTGAGCATCTCTCCAGCCCAGGACATCTTTCCTGTGACCTCAGATTCAGATAGCAAGCTGTTCTCCCTCCGCCAGCCTCAGCACCAGCCCCTCCCTGTCCACTGCCTTCACCTGGCCTCCAGTCCAAACCCGCACTTGACATCAGTAGGATGCTCAAGGCATGGGCTCCATGTTGGTGCTTGCCCTCACAGAGAAGGCTGGTGCCCATTTCTGGGTCCTTCACCAGGCTGAGGGTGCTGTTGGCCCAGGGACCAAGTGTGACAGAGGTCACCTGGAGGTGACCATGGCCACTGTTCACATCCACTGGGGCACTGTCCATCCACCATTGCAGAGGGTGTGGGGATCCTGTAGAAGGAGCAGGTGCACTGCAGCGTTTCCTCTGAGGAACAGAAGGAGTTCAGCAGTCTGGTGGGTCCTGTGGAGGGAGGGTCAGGTGTCAGCAAGGTGCCCTGACTTCCCTTCTGTCCTTCCTCCAGGATCTAGCCTTCTTTTCTTTCTTTGTCTCACTCGGGGTGAATCTCAGGGCCTTTATATACTAGGAAATGCTCTACCACTGAGCCACACCCCAGCCCCTCACTGGGGGATCCTAGGCAGGGGCTCTACCACTGAGCCACACCCCAGCCCCTCACTGGGGAATCCTAGGCAGGGGCTCTACCACTGAGCCACACCTGAGCCCCTCACTGGGGGATTCTAGGCAGGGCTCTAGCTGAGCACACCCCAGCCCCTCACTGGGGGACCCTAGGCTCACAGAAGGTGTCTGATCTAGGTAGACTGGGCACCTACACCTGGCTGTCCTCACACCACTGAAACCCACCTCCTCCCTGGCTTCTTCAGCTCTAGAGCTGTTTCTGGCCTCACCCAGCTGCAGAAGCGGGGGCCCTATGTGCAGCAACAAGAGTTCCCAGGGACAGGGCTGGCTTTACCGTGTTGACTCTGACGTCAGATCCATGTGGCTCAGGACTGAGGTGATGGTAACTGAGAGAGGACACAAGCTATGTGAGCAGAGGCATCCTCAACAGGGCAGGGGCATCTGCCTCTGGTCACCTGGAGAAGCAGGAATGACTTGGGAGTAGATGCTCAGGAGCATCTAGGGATGGGGAGGCTCTGCTAAGGTCCTCCACAACACTCTGATGTCTTGTCTCTTTCACCCACTCGGAGGTCTCAATAGCCAGGCAGGTCAAGTTCTCTCTTAAAGCTATTGGGGATGCAGAGGAGGATATGCCATGGAGGGATTGAGAGGTACAGGTGTTTGGACTCTTACACTAGAGCCACATGAGAAATGGCCCAGGGATTGACTGCAGGCCACGTGGGCAGGGCGGCAGCTTCCGTTGTGGTCAGGAAAGGATGACACATGTGAGGTGAAATGTGAGGGATGGGGGACAGGACTCAGAGGGGTATGTAGGGGTTAGAATTTCAGGGGTCCTCGCATTGTCCAAAAACAAAACAAAACAAGTCAGATGTGGTAGCGCACACCTGTAATCCTAGCACTTGGAAGGCAGAGGCTGGTGGATCTCTGTGAGATCAAGGCCAGCTTGATCTACATATTGAGTTCCAGGCCAGCTGCAGCTACAGAGAGACCCTGACTCAAAAAAACAAAACAAAACAAAAACATTTGTAGCACTAATCTGAACTAAAAATTTCAACAACACGAATGTCATTAATAATAGAAAAGTTGAGATGAGATGGCAGACCCTGTAACCTCAGCACTTGGGGGGCAGAGGCAGGAGGACTGTGAATCTGAAGCCATCCTGGTCTATGTAGTAAGTTCCAGGTCAACCTGGGCTACACACTGACACCCTGTGTGTAGAGCATTATCCTCTGAGCATAGAAGTTATCTTTGTCATCAGAACACCTGTGACTACTGGCCAGAGGCCCCTGAGATTAAGCTATGGACATGTTGATTTTCCCTCACAGAAGTCAGGGGAGGGTCATTGGACCCTCAGGTGAGACTCTGGCTGTTTCCTTCTGCACCTCCCAGTCATTCATGTATAACTCTCCCCTAACTGCATGTGGCCTTGTGGTCTCAGGAGGTGCCAGGGCATACAGACTGTGGGAGGTTACCTGAAGGGGGTCTCCATCTATGCAACCACGGGCTGACACTTTACAGTGGTCATCCATGCTGGGGTGAGACGTTCTGGTGGTGTGGCCACTTTGGGGTCACCCATGCTCCTGTATGTCACCCCTCACACAGGCTTGGTAAGTAAGCCTAATAAACACACCGACTCCCCAAGTTGGATGTTGGTTGACTCATATTTCAGTTTGTCATTGAGCCTTATAAGGAGGAGGCAGACATTTATGTCTTCCCAGGGAAGAGGAGTTCCCACAACACCCTGTATCAATATTGCCCCTCCAAAAAGAAAAACAAATGGGGTGCTATGTGGCAGGGTTTATGACAGATGTAGTGGTGTGGATCAATTTCACATACAACATATTTAATGAATGGAGCTAGACACAGGTGTGTGACCACTATGGTTGATTTACCATTGAAAATAAAACAGCAGGGGCTCAAGAGATGGCTCAGTGGTTAAGAGCACCACTGCTCTTGAAGAGGACCAGAGTTTGGTTCCCAGCTACACTGGATGGCTCACAACTGCCTATAACTCCAGCTCCAGGGGATCCAACACTCTCTTCTGGCCTCTGTGGGTCCTACCCTCATGTACACACACAAAAACATAATTAAAAATTAAAATGAATCTTTAAAATTAATCTGATAGCCCAAGAGAGGGGGACATGTGTCTCTCTTTAAAAATCTCTCCTCTTGGGGCTGGAGAGATGACTCAGTAGTTAAGAGCACTTGCTGCTCTTGCAGAGGACTTGAATTCCATTCCCAGCATCCACATGGGGGCTCACAACCTTCTGTAACTCCAGCTCCAGGGCATCCAACACCCTCTTCTGGCCTTTGTGGGTACTGCACTCATGTGTACAAACCCACACAAAGACACGCACATATACACATAATGAACACAAAAGAAACCCCAGGCAAAACAAAAGTGTAGTGTTTATAGATGAACTCTAATGTAGCAAAATTCTTGTTAAAACTTCAAGGAAATGCCTAGCATAAATTGAGTGTTTTAATTATTTTCATGGACAGGAAGGAGGTAGTATTCAGTATGGAGTATGCCAGATATTGAGTGCTGGAAGCTTAGGCTGTCGACCTGACACCCTGGGAAGAGGGAACTTTAACTCGGGAGTTTCCTGTACTGGACTGGCCTGTGGCCATGTCTGTGGGCATCTTCTTGATTGAGTGACATGGGAGGGTCCAGCCCACCGTGGGTGGTGCCACCCCTGGACTGGTGGTCCTGTATTGTATAAGAAAGCAGGCTGAGCACAGGCCAGGGGAACAGCCAGTAAGCAGTGTTCCTCCATGGCCTGTGCTCCAGCTCCTGCCTCCAGGTCCCTGCCTGGCTTATCCCGATGATAGACTGTCAGTTAGAAGTGTAAGATGAGATAAACCTTTTCCTCCCTGCAGGGTGTAATTTTCAATCAGGAAGAAACAGCTACACATCACCCTGACAGCATGTTCCTGTAAAACCATTTAGATTTTACCATCAACATCGCCTAAGGACCGGCTTCACTGCCAGAGTTCATCCAACATTATCAAGTACATCGTGGGTATTTTCTGTTTCAAGATTTTGTTATATTCCTCATGTCCCCTGGGCTGTCTCAAAGCCTTGAGGCTAGGCTGCTGTTTCCAATCCAAGAGATTTTCTTTTACGACAGCATTCACCACTAGGTGGAGCTCACTGGCTTTTGCCAACAGCTCTAGTTTGTCTAAAGACTTGGACGTCTTTTGAGTGATTGTTATGCATAGGACCTGGCAACATTTCAAAATTCAAATAACTAAACCAAACACAGAGATCCTAACATGCTTCGCTTTGTTCATCATATCTTATACTATTTAAAATTACAACCTGAGGCTGGAGAGATGGCTCAGCAGTTAAGAGCGCTTACTGCTCTTGCGGAGGACCTGAGTTTGGTTCATAGCATCCATGTCAGGTGGCACACTCACATACCCACACACCATCACATAATTAAAAAATAAATCTTTAAAAATTAGAAATAAGGGGCTGGAGAGATGGCTCAGTGGTTAAGAGCGTTTACTGCTCTTGCAGAGGACCCGAATTTGGTTCATAGCATCCACATCAGGTGGTGCATTCACATACCCACACACCATCACCATCACATAAATAAAAAATAAATCTTTAAAATTTAGAAATAAGAGGCTGGAGAGATGGCTCAGCGGTTAAGAGCACTGGCTGCTCTAGCAGAGGACCCAGATTCAGTTCCCAGCACCCACATGACGGCTTAACACCTGTCCATAACTCCAGTTCCAGGGGATCTGATGCCCTCTTCTGACCTCTGAGGGCATTGCATGACGTAGGTACACTTACATACATGCAGGCAATACTCTCACACACATAAAACTAAAATAATAAAAATAAACGTAAAAGATAGAAACACTTAACAACCCGGATGGACTGGTTCGCACTTCATACAGCCAATTTTAGTTGGAAGGAAGACTGACATGCGTTGTTTCACAAGAGCAGGTAGGGCTTTTCCCAGCTGGACACAGTATCTACCCCCACAATATACTCAGGTAAATACATTCACATAAGACATTTGGATAGAGTCTATTTACACTTTTAAAAGATTTTTTAGCTAGCCTGCACTACTATCCTCAGACCTCTTGGGGTAAGTCGATAGCGCAGCTCTCCGCGCCGGGACTCCCTAAGCCACAGTCACCCTTCCATCCCCCCGCCTCGCCGTTCTATACTCCTAGTTTGGGCCCTGCGCCATTCCTAGTCTTGGGGCCTCAGACACCTGGGGAACCAATACTGCTTCCTGACCCTTCTCACCCAGAGCAACCCAGTCCCTTTCTTGGGCTCCAGGAGCACCACTTCTGGTCCTGGCCCCGCCCTCACCTCGCTCTGCTTCCCTGGGCCTGCACCACCGGCTAACTCTCCTAGCCTGCACTACTATCCTCAGACCTCTTGGGGTAAGTCGATAGCTCAGCTCTCCGCGCCCGGACTCCCTAAGCCACAGTCACCCTTCCATCCCCCCGCCTCGCCGTTCTATACTCCTAGTTTGGGCCCT